TGATCTGGAAAGCACGCTAGGCATCTGAGGAAGGGATGCCTGGCCTTCTGTGAGGAATACCTCCCCAATCTCCAGACTTGGGCTGCATCTCCTCTGTGATGTCAGTGTTTTCCTAGGCCCTGGAAGAGCGATGGTTCTGGAAACACAGTGAGGAACGCACCCTGGCTAGGGAAGTGCTGGGGAAGCATCCCTCTCTGTCCTGGCTGGAGTCACCCCAGTAGAAAGATCCCAAAGAGTGGGCCTGTCAGAGGCCCATGTATCCTCCGTCTGGCTTCATGCTGACTGAGCCATCTCCCATTCCTTCTTACAATATCTGACATTTATGGTGCACCTACCGTATGCAGTATACTAGGCAAACTGCCAGGGATGCACAGATGAAAGTTGTGACCCCTGAGTTTAAAGTTTAGTCATGGAAAGAGGAGGAGGAAAGCAAAGAATGAAAGGTCACACACAGAGGCCAGCAAAATTACGTGAGCTGCTACTGGGTGAGGGCGTGGGGATGAAGACGTTCCAACTAGGAGTCCAGGCCACCTATTCTGGAGATGATCCCCCAGCCAGTTCTCCTTCCTGAGAGCAAGTGGAAAGAGCCCCCTGGACTGAAAAGTTGAGGGTCCTTGGAGCCTACAAAGAGCGGGGACTTGAACCATAAAATCTCCAAAGTCCCGAGAAAATCCCATGCTAAAAAAGTCTTCTCTCCAGGCTAAGCGGGAGTCAACTCTGGCCACTAGTGTGCTGTGGGTCGGGGAGGGTAAGAGAGCCCAAACGAAACTTCTATGCGTTGTTATGAATGACAAGGCACAGTCTCAATGCAGGCAGGTTAAAAGTAGCTGATTAAACAGGAGCTTTCTCGTAGGTACGAAAGTACAGGAAAACACATAGTATACACAGGGCTCAGTACCATCCGAGGTGTCAGGCATCACTGGGGGGGTCTTGGAACATATCCCCAGAGATAAGAGGGGACTAGTGTAAATAGTCCAACTGTTGATATTATCATTCTATTAAACCGCAGGACTCCCTCTTCAGATTTGCTACTGGGAGTTTGCACTCCTGTTTTCGGCCTTGATTTTCCTGATGACGTTTCTTCATCTTGATACCACAGGGTTGTAGGAGACGGGCCAATTCATACACAATACTCTCTCTTTTCCTCATCATCAAATAAAAAAAAAGCAAGCCTCCCTGAAATCCCATCCGTGACTGTCCCCATTAGTGAGTGTGGCTGACTGCAGGAACTCTGGGGGTGTGCGTGCGAACAAGAGGGGGGCAATCGGAGCAAAAGGCTCACTCGCTCTAAAAAATACAGAATATATACATTATGACCATATGTTTTCTCTTCTGAATGTGTCAGCTGGAAGCTGAAAGTCTGGCTTGGGTCTCTGGCCTAAAGCAGCGACCAAAAAGGGGCTATGACCTCATCACCTAGTCTTGCAGCCTCAATGAGAAACCTCATTCCTCAACTTAGTGAAATCCAAGAAGTGATTATGTCTAAGAATCTAGGGAAGGTCTCATTCTCTTCGCACTTATTACCGCATCCAAAGCAAACACAGCAATGCCTATTAACACCCAAGGTGTCAGCTTGTGTGTGGGTCCTTGGAAATGCAGAAGTTACCACTGGCAGTTTCTATCAAGGCTGACTACACTTAATCTGTCAGAAGGGGTTGAAAGATTTACCCAATTTAAATCCCTTCCATGACCTTCTGGTCTACTGCTGTGCTCTGACCTACCACAGACCAAAACAATCATTCTGTTTGTCAAATTCACGGTTGGCCATTGTGCAAGAGCCCCAAGTTACTCAGGAAAGATCTTCAGAAACGATTACGGCAAATCCCCTGTTATTGTTGGTTGCCTCTTGTTTTCGTTCAGAGCCTTGCTCAACTCTCGGTCCTATCTATCTTTCCTTTTAAGTTTTCACAGTGTCTTTTTTGAAGTAAGGGTAGCTGTTCTGGATTTATAAAATGATATAGGGGCTTCATACCAATTTTTTTTTTAACAGAGAGAGAATAATTATGGGATTCACCTTGCTCCAGGGACTGTGCAAGAAACCAGAGTGGAGGGATTGCATGTTACCATCATGATGACCTGAGGAAAATGTTATGTCTACGAGGAAACTGAGGTTCAGAGATGTCATTTCCCTTGCCTCAGGTCGCACAAAGAGTAAACAGTGGAGACAGAATTAAAAACCTTTCAGAGCTTAAGCCCAATTCCACACATCGCGTTACCCTGTCTTCTTTATTTTTTTAAAATACCTCCAGGGTTTTGTTTGCTAGCCACAGCTCTAAGCGAGTTTTTCCATGGTGGTGGACAGTCAGGGAAAAGTCATAGTGCCATCCCAGCAGGAAGGAGAAAGAGCTCTGTGTCTCTCCAGAGGTTGAGAAGACATACTGATGGGCCAGAAATTAACTAATACCTATTCATCAGAGGGGAGAGGGTTAAGACAGAGATGTAGGAAAAGCGGCCTGCAGAGATTTCCTTCTGGTTGGAAAAGTTGGTGTTCTTTATCTTAAAAATAGAAAATCAATTCAATTATAGCACTGAAGATAACGTTTCTTTCTAGGTACACCCAGAGACGATTGACTGCATCTCTGAAAGTGAAAAATTCTGCTAAAATCTTCAAGCCCTGGCATTCTGATAAATCCTGATCTTCCCAAATACCCCCATTCACAACAGAGATGAGCCTCAAGTCTTCTGTTGGAAACACCAAGAGTCTATCTTGAATCTTAAAGTTTGCTGCTGCTGAATCGGAGTCCCTCCCACCCAGAAGAGACTGTTCCCAGTTGGATGCTCTCCTGCCGACGAGAATTGCCGACAGATTTGTAAGTTCCAGAATCTGGAATAGCTACATATTAATTGCATTTAATTACACAAGACTAGAGATTATCAAATATCTTCTAGGTACTTTGTTCTACGTTTCAGGTACTGATGTAAAATTTGAAGGCTAAATAATGCAAATTTCCCTTTTGGAAAGCTTAACTAGTCCACCATTCTACCTAAGGGGGGGCTATTCCTTTGCTGTTGTGAAATGAAGTTTTCCTATCTGCACTGGAGTTGTAGGTAACCAAAGAATCCTTGCCCCAGCAGACAGCATTTGGCCCTAAGCAATCTGTGAATAATTAAGCACTGAGTCCAGCTGCAGGTTCTAAAATGTTCAACATTTAATACAGGTTAAGTAACATTTCTTCCTCCCATCAGAGAACGGGAGACCAGACAAAATAATTGTCTAGATCTAGTGCCCAAACTCATCTGATTTTTCATATCAGTCATTTGATGATTACTTTGTTTGCAGACCAGTGTTTAAGAACTGTCCCCCGCCACCCCGAATGTAAGTTTGTGCAGCCACTATGGAAAACAGTATGGAGGGTCCTCAGAAAACTAAAAATAGAATTACCATATGATCCAGCAATCCCATTCCTGGGCATATACCCAGACCAAACTGTAATTCAAAAAGATACATGCACCCTTATGTTCATAGCAGCACTATTCACGATAGCGAAGACATGGAAACAACCTCAATGTCCGTCGACAGATGAATGGATAAAGAAAATGTGGTACATAAATACAGTGGAATACTACTCAGCCATAAAAAAGAACGAAATCATGTCATATGCAGCAACGTGGATGCAACTAGAGATTCTCATACTAAATGAAGTCAGAAAGTAAGACAATACTATAGGATAACACTTATATGTGGAATCTAAAATATGGCACAAATGAACCTATCTATGAAACAGACTCACAGACATAGAGAACAGACTTGTGGTTGCCAAGGGGGAGGGAGTCGGGGAGGGATGGAGTGGGAGTTTGGGGTTAGCAGATGCAAACTATTATATAGAGAACTGATAAACAACAGGGTCCTACTGTATAGCACAGGGAACTATATTCAATATCCTGGGATAAATCATAATGGAAAAGAATATTAAAAAGAATGTATATATGCTTTATAGGTTTGGTTCAGTAAGCAAATTATGTATGAGAGAAAAGCTCAAAAATACCACCCCCCCCAAAAAAAAAGAACTTCCCCTCTTGACCAACTGAGGCCACAGGCTCAGTAAAACTTTATGATGGCAAAATCTGTCCATCTTGAAAGAGAATGATTGAGCTGAACAAGCAGTGTGGTTTGCTGGAAGATTCTAGGTTCTGTACCTCACTCGCCCAACATTTGCCGGGGGACCTTGGGTGGCTCCCAGCATAGCCGTAAGTCTCATGTCGCTCCCCTGTAACATAAGAGGATTGGCCCCTCTGATGTCTAAGACCCTTTAGAGCTAAGGGTCTATGTATTTATGGCAAAGTACAGAAGAACCTGAAATTGTTCCCAAATATAATGGGAACAGAGCAAATGAAAACCAGAGTAAGAGGTTAAAGAGTGGGGGTGGTGGGCTTTCCTGGTGGCACAGTGGCTGAGAATCCGCCTGCCAATGCAGGGGACACGGGTTCGAGCCCTGGTCCAGGAATACCCCACATGCCGCGGAGCAACTAAGCCCGTGCGCCACGACTACTGAGCCTGCGCTCTAGAGTCCTCAAGCCACAACCACTGAGCCCGCATGCCACAACTACTGAAGCCCGCGTGCCTAGAGCCCGTGCTCCGCAACAAGAGAAGCCACCACACTGAGAAGCCTGCGCACCGCAATGAAGAGCAGCCCCCGCTCGCCGCAACCAGAGAAAGCTTGCGCACAGCAACCAAGACCCAACACGGCCACAAATAAATAAATAAAATAAAGAAATAATCATAAAAAAAGAACATGGTGGTGAGGAGCCAACATTTGCCAGCACAGACCTGGGTTCAAGTTCTGCCTCTACTGCTTACCGATTGTATAACCTCAAGGTACTCTCCCTCTCTGAACTTCCAGTTCTTTCTTTGTAGAAAATATTTAGTGATACTACATGCCTTGTAGGATGGAGGTGAGCATTAACTCTGATGAATATGAAGCACTTGATACAGGTCTGAGACAGAACAAGCTCTCAATTGCTGAATCCAAATAACAATTGAAAAAGTAACTGGAACATACCTGTATCTCAGGTGTCTGTTCCCTCGGGCTATTTTCTTTGGTCTGTCCATCCTCCTCTTGATGGGCTCCTTAACTCCTTCTGCTAAGCCTCTCAGATTTCAGTCTTCTGTCTGAAAAGCAATGCCAGGATGTTTGTTAATTGTTCAAAGTAGGGCCATCTAAGTTTCTTCTATAGTCCACAGAATTCAGAGCAGGTCTTTCATTGGACATTAGTAGGGGTATTTGTCTATGATGTATACATGCTGGCGTCAAACTGGTCTCCCCACAGCTTGTACACATACTCCCCAGTCTGTTCTATGCAATGTGCCCAGACGATCACATCCCTCTAAGGTGCCACTCTCTGTAACAGCATCCCACTGATTTTATTTGTTGATAAAGCAGAGATTCTTAACACAGCCCTGCTTATTTCAGACCTTCGCAATTTCACTAGACTCACTTTGTATCTTTACTTTCCCCAATGATAAGTTTCCTCTTGGAAACTTAAAAACAACATGCTCTTCTGTGCATCAGGACTATTGATTGACACAATGATTCAGCCACCTGAAATATCAGCCCCCTCCATGTACACTCTTGCACTTCATTCACAGCCCAGCTCAAAAGCTTCTTCCTCCAGGGAGTACTCCTTGAGATATATATATTTTTATATTTATATATTTATTTTTTTAAATTGAAGTATAGCTGATTTACAATTTTGTATTAATTTCAGGTGTACAGCACAGTCATTCAGTTATATATATGTGTGTATATGTGTGTGTGTGTGTTTACATATATATGCAGTCTTCTTCAGATTCTTTTCTCTTACAGGTTATTACAAAATATTGAGGTTATTCCCTGTGCTATATGATAGGTCCTTGTTGGTTATCTATTTTATATATAGTAGTGTGTATATGTTAATCCCAAACTCTTAATTTATTCTCCATCCATCCAAGACAAGATGAGGACTTCTTGGTAAATGTGTTCATAGGAGGCCTACCCTGTTTAACTCTTTGTTTTAAAAAAGCAATCATTACAAGGAAAATTTACGGGGCAATCCATAATCTGATATCTAACCTTTCCTCCTCCCCAGTTCAGGCTGGGCCTGTCCTTTCCACTTCTACGTTCACACTGCCCAATCCAGTGCCTGGCGCGCAGTGGGGATTCAATAATGGTCAGCAAGTGAATGACTGGCTCTTTGAATGAAGACATATACATACAAAGTGAAGGAGTTTCATCCTGTACTGCAGGATGTGGAGTTGGAGGCTCATACATTATTTACACAGTTAGAAGTTTGACAGGAACAAAATGATCCTGAGATCCTGAGAGGCTCCAGGATGTACAGCTGTTGAAATGTCACCTTTAAGACGTGGGTATCGATTTACAGTTTGCATTCTTAAGCGCAGAGGATTCTGTACGAGCAGGGGAAAAAAAAAACAAGTTTTGCGTCTCAGTGAAGGAGAAGGCTAAGTCAGGTTTGGTATCATCTGTCGGAAGGCTGTGTGGGGAGTGTGTGTGTGTGTGTTATGCGCAGGCACGTGCTCATTTAAGAGGTTTACGCTGACTGGCTTTCTTGATGGTAATAAGAAAAAAGCTTTAAGACTGATGTTTTTCATCAGAGATTAGTTTTTCCTATTTCAATACTACAACTGAACGGAATCACACAGGAGTACAATTGTATCTGCCTTCCGCTCAGCATGACGTTTTGATGGTTCATCCAGGTTGTGATGTGTTAGTAGTTTGTTACTTTTTCTTGCTGTGTGGTAATCTAGTCTATGGCTATATCACAAGGTGTTTATCTGTTTCATTTTGATGAACATCTGGGCTCTCTTCATAGTTGTTTATTAATGAAATATCTATAAATATTCTTGTTAAGAGTCTTGCTGTGTATATATGCTTTCATTTCTTTTGGGTCAACATCTAAGAGTGATATTGCTGGGTCATGGGGTAGGTACAGGTTTACTTTTATGATATTGCTGGACTGATTTTCAGGGTGATTTTACCATTTTGCACTCCCAGTGGGTCCACATCAACATCTGGTTCTGCCAATCTCTTTTATTTTAGCCACCCTAGTGGGTGTATAACATTATGTCATAGTTTTAGTTTGTATTTTCCTGATGACTAATGTTGAATATTTTTTCATGTGCTTATTGACCATTTGATATTTTTCTTTGTTAAGTTCTTATTTGAGTCTTCTATTTTATTTTATTTTATTTATTTATTTATTTATTTTGCGGTATGCGGGCCTCTCACCGCTGTGGCCTCTCTCGTTGCGGAGCACAGGCTCCGGACGCGCAGGCTCAGTGGCCATGGCTCACGGGCCCAGCCGCTCTGCGGCATGTGGGACCTTCCCGGACCGGGGCATGAACCTGTGTCCCCTGCATTGGCAGGCGGACTCTCAACCACTGCGCCACCAGGGAAGCTCCTTCTATTTTATTTTAAATGGTGTCATTTATCTTTTAAATAAGAGTTTCATCGGTTATATATGTATGTATATATTTTGAATATGAATCCTAAGTCAGATATATGTATTGCACTTATTTTCTCCAAGTCTGTGTCTTGCCTGTTCACTTTTTAAAGTTAGCTGTCTTTTGAAGCACAAATTGCTTAATTTAATTGAAGTCCATTTTTACCAATGTTTGTGTTCTAAGAAACCTTTGCTCACTTAAATGTTGTGAAGATATTCTCCTAGTTTCCTTATAGAAGCTTTATAGTTTTAGCTTTTATGTTTAGGTCTGTGAACCACCTCCAATTGATTTTTGTGTATGATGTAAGATATGAATCAAAGTATTTTTTTTTCCATACAAATTTCTTTCCCCACTGAATTGCATTGGTCCCTTTGTCGAAAATTAACTCACCATTCCTAATTATTTTACATTTAACTATGTTCTTTAGATTATTTACATCCATTGTATGTGTATGATAAAAATATTACATAATGATGTGCTACTGTACTTCTCTTCCCAACTTTGTGTTCACTGAGGTCAGGTTGGTAGCTTGAAATCAGCCATTCTGGGAATATTTACACCACGGAAAGAGGCAAACACTACAAATCAAGGCTCAGTTTACCGTGGTTTTGTTTCTGCAGAATTGAGAACGTGTTGGAAACAATGTTAATAGTACAGATTAACCTTAAAATCGTGTCTGCAACTATGACAATGTGAATAGCGCAAAAATTTGAGGGAATATTCTTCCAGTATTTGAAAGCTACTATTCGGGTCAACAAATTAGTCACACATATCATTAATGAATCAGTAAAGCTCTAGTAAACATCATTCACCTTCCTCTTTCCATTAATGTAAACAGAAATATCAGCAAACATTCACACACGAGCTATCCTCACCTTCCTATTGCAATCGGAGGTGTGCTTCGGAGGTGAGTGCAAGAACGCCGAGAGAGGGCTTATACACTGCAGGCTGCTATGCAAACTTGAGGATTATCGTTAGATAACATTCAAGGTCTTGGCCAGTTTGCAGAAAATTAAGAAAAAGCTTTCCGGGGGAGGGGCCCTGATGGTTTTGAAGGAGGAGGTAAAAGGGCCATGCATCCCAGGAGGACAGCCCAGCTGAAGGTTCAGCCTGAGCAAAAGCACACAGGTGGGGAGGCCGTCTTGGAAACGGTCCTCCCTCCAGGTCGGACAGGGCGATGGCAGGTCAGGGCTGATGGTGGGGAAAAAAGCAGGGCCAGTTGCACTGGAGTAATTCTGTGAACTCCAAACTGCAGAGTTTGTACTTGTATCAGAAGGCAGTAGGGAGCCGGTGAAGATCTTTGAGCAAAAGGAACTCACACGGCCAGAGGTGTAGTTTCTGATGGATTGTTAATCTGGCAGCTGGAAACAGGCCACAGGAGCCCAGACTGAGCCAGTGGTCATCAGAACAGAAAGGATATGAGTAATGGAAGAAATATATCCAGGGTAGAGGTAGCAGGACTGGGAAAAATAGTTCTACTTTAAGTGTTTTTAAGTTTTATTTTAATCTATAATTTTTATTTTTTATGGAGGTTTGAGGATGTAGGGAGGTGTCAGTGAATCCGAAGAGTGTAAAATAAAGACATTGAGGGAAAGTACTCTGGAATTTTTACATCAAACCCCCATTTTTCTTCATTTGAAGAATCTGGGGTTATTGAGAGTGCTTCTACTCCGGTGAATACTTACGTATTTTAATTAATGTCCGTCTTAACACTTATTTACCACTTCCTTTCTAGGGGCTTGTTATTTAATAAAAGGAATAATATAAAGGCTTGCTTTTTTTTTTTTTTAAACCAGAAATATTTAAAGAATGCTCTCTGTTTGCCTTTGAGTGCATTCTGGGCGAGGTGACTTTAGGCCATAAAGACTTGAGCGAGCCTTTGGGTCATGTCCTGTCACTGAGCTCTCTGGCTTTGTCTTGTTTACTTGGAATATAGAGGAGATATTGTGGAGAGCACTTCATTCTCAGGACCATCTGAAACCAGTCAGGCATAATTCTCGAGAAAAAATATATTCTTTTAAAAATGATTTCTTGTTGGAAACGATAGTATATTAGAATACTTTAGAAGTTTTAGACGTTCACAGGGGAAAAAAATCCTGAAGAGAATATTCTCATAGACCATACACAGACCATAAGCAACTGGTGAACTGTTATTGCAGCTAAACTGGTCAAAAAGAAAGCATGTCTTTTTTTTTGCAAATCAGATTGCATTATTTTAGGTCATCTTCTTCCTTCTGTGATTACAAAAAATATGACTTTAGGTTGTCAAGTAATTCACACAACACACAGGTAAACAGTGGAACGCAGGGGCTCAGAGGGCTCTTTGCGGTGTCAGAATATCTGGGCCTGTATCTCTAGAGCTTTATTGTTCTGTGCCTTTGGCACACAATGTCTTAAAACTCTGTTTCTCTACTGTAATATGGGAATAATAACAGAAATTAACTCCTGGGGTTGGTGTGATTGTTAAGTGAGAGGATATATGTAAAGCATTTAAGAATAGTACCTGGCTATATGAGAGTTAGTAATAATTTAGTAATCATGATCATGATTTTTTTTTTTTTTTTTGCGGTACGCGGGCCTCTCACTGTTGCGGCCTCTCCCGTTGCGGAACACAGGCTCCGGACGCGCAGGCTCAGCGGCCATGGCTCACGGGCCCAGCCGCTCCGCGG